AAAATCAAACAAAAATACATCACAACTTTTCCAACAACTTAATATATAGACATAAAATAAAATAAGAGATGTCTGGCCTCTTGTATATTTAATCTCATAAGATAACTTCTCTAAATTCTGTCTTATATTTGAACTTTTAAAAATTCAGTTAAGGGACCAGCAGGTGGAGGTCAAGGCACTGGATCCCACATGGCTGACTGCACAGTTTGAGTCCCAGACACAGTGGCTTTGAAAACAAACCCAGGAGGGCTAACCAGAGGGATAGCAAGTGGCATGGTGGTTAAGGGCTCTGGACTCCCACATGGCCAACTGTGGTCTGAGTCCCAGACCTGGTGGCTGCTTTTTCACTTTCCCTCTCTCTCTCCCTTTCTCTCGCTCTGTCCCTCTCTGGTCAAATTTAAATAAATAAATAAATAAATAAATAAATAAAGTTAACTTTTTAAAAATTCTTTTAAAATTTTAAAAGAAAAAAAAAAAAAAGAACATAACGCCAGGCACATGTGCATGCGTGCCCAAAATCCCGAGAGGAAAGTGGAGAAGGGATTATAACACGGCCATCCTCCCTGAGTGGTGATTTCTCACTTTCTCGCTTTCTCTCTCTGATAAGCACATATGACTTATAGCAAAAACTAAAACTAAAAAAAAATAATGAAATAAAACGAAAAGTACATTCAGTTAAGTTTTTAGTCATTCCCTTGGGAAAAAACCGACAACACCAAGAATCAAAAGCACGTGGAGCCTTCGTGACGATGGGTGTTGGCAGTGGTGTGCTGGTAACCAGGTAACAACTGGATCTCTGAGAAAGAAACCCTGACTTGTGGAAGTTGTCAATTTCTGTGGTGTAAATGTTTTTTCATCATGACTGAACTCACACAGTGTAGGCAGGAGTGTAAATTGGTACAATCACTTTATGAAACTGTTTGATGATATCTATTAAAGCTGACATATACATACACCAGGAGGCAGTAATTTGGCTTGTAGGTGTGTACACCGTGAAGTGCACACTATTTGTAATAGTGAAAACCTGGACTGGGCAAACTTGTATATCTATGCAATGGAACACTGTACCATGATGGAAATGAACAAGCTGCTACCACAGAGAACGACATGGATAAATCTCGTCACGGCAAAAGAGGGCCAGCTGGATGATGTAGTGGTTAAGGGGCTGGATCCCTGCACAAGGCTGACTGCGTGGTTCAAGTCCCGGATCTGGTGGCTTAGAAAATACCCCTGGTATGTGTGTGTCCAAAATCCAAAAGGAAAATGGAAAAGAAGGGATTGTGGTGTGGCCATCACACTGGAGGTGCTTTCTCACTCCTCCCACCTCTCTCTTTCTCTGTCTCTCTCGAAAGTGCATGTGCCCTATCACAAAACAAATAAATGAATGAAATGAATAAATGAATGAATGAATGCAAGAGTAAATACTGTATGATGCTAATTATGAAGTTCAAAACAGGTAAGACTGGGAACCAGCAGTTAGCATAATGGCTATGTCACTGGACTCCCACGCAGTAGACCGCGGTTCGCGTCCCAGACCCGGTGGCTTAAAACTCACGCTGGGCACGTGTGCGTGCGTGCCTAAGATCCCGAGAGGAGAATGGAGGAGAAGGGATTGCAGCGTGGCCATCCTCCCTGGGGGGTGATTTCTCGCTTTCTGTCTCTATGCCTCTCTCTGTCTGTCTGGCGAGTGCACGCACCCTATAGTGAAAACCTCTCAAAAAAAAAAAAAAGAAAAAAAACAGGCAAGACTATATGCTATCAGAAGTTAAGCTAGTGATTGAGCAGGACCAAGAGAATAGTGATCAGAAGGTAGCACAAGGGATGTATCTTTACTATTGGGTTGTTGGAAAAGTTGTAACATATTTTTTTCTATGTTCTTCTGTGCAAAAATGCATCAGGACTTTTCTGACAACCCAATCGATGGGTGTTAATTATGAACTGAATTCTGTGTCCCTTCTTCCCACCTGGAAATTGATATGTTGAAGCTCTAGTCCCCAGTGTGATGGTTTTAGGAGGTGAGATCATTAAACATAACTAGTTTAGAGGAAGTCTTGAGGTGGGATCCTCATGATGAGATTAGTGCCCTTAGAAGAGGAGACAAGGGAGCTTGCTTGCTTGCTCTGTCTGCAATCTGCAAACCTAGAGGAGAGCCCTCACCAGAGCCCAGCTCTGCTGGCATCTTGATCTCGGGTTTCCCAGCCTCCAGAACTGTGAGAAATAAGTATCTGTTGTGTAAGCCGCCCAGTCTATGGTGTTTTGTTATCACAGTCTCAGCAGATTCGGATGGCTATGTTTATACAGGTGGATTCAAATTGTGATGACGCATTAAGCTACGTACTTCTGAGTAATGCACTTTTGTATGTGAATGGCTTACTTCAATAAAGTTTATTCAACCAACATATTCATGTGTTATTTGCACACACAGAAACAAAAACATATCATTATCTGCATAAGTCAGCTTTTCAACATCTTTAACTCATAGATAAATCTTACCATGTTCACAAATTAAAGAAATCATATCTTGTCCAGTCAAACGCAATTTCACCAGCAGAAATTCAGGTTAACAATAAAGCAGTTCATTTGCATACATAAGAGAACCCATCCGAACAAAAACAATATTTGTCTAAATCTCCAAATACTAATTTTTAACAAAGTAACTCTAAATCTAATCATATCAAAGAAAGTCACAGGCTTGAAACACAAAAAATGCGGTACCTTTTCAGAAGCAGAAAAGCTAAACACATTTTTTTTAAGAGATTTTTACTATAGGGTGCAGGTGCTCATTGGACAGAGAGAGACAGAGACAGAAAGCAAGAAATCATTCCCCAAGGGGATGGTCACCCAGCAATCCCTTCTCCATTTTTCTCTCGGGATCTTGGATGTCCACGCACAGTGAGTTTCAAGTCACCGGGCGCAGGACTCAAACTGTGATCAACCATGTGGGAGTCCAGCATTGTAATCATTACACCATCAGCTAGTCCCTAAACACACATTGTAAGAGAAAAATATTCACTTTTAAGAAGAAACTTCTGGGGGCCAGCAGGTGGCATTGTGGTTAAGGCACTGGACTCCCACATGGCCGACAGCAGTTCAACTCCCAGACCTGGCAGCTTGTTTTTTTCACCTTCTCTTCTCTCTCTCTCTCATCTCTCTCTGATAAGCGCACATGCCCTGTAGCAAATAATAATAATGATAAAATAAAATAAAGTATTTAAGAAAAGAAAAAGAAAACTCTGACTCATCTGTTCTGATCTTCCTCTTCATTCTGACAACATCGTCCCTTTATCTCACGGTGGGTGCCGTCTGCTCTGGGTGAACTGGGGGAGCAGTGGACTCGGAGTATTTCCCAGTAACTGGACATCCAGACCACCCCAGGCACACGTCCAGTTCTGTTGGGAAAGTGACTGGCTGTTCGTTATTTTCTTACTCAAATCACCTTACTGACTTGGAAGGGGAAGTCCCTGTCCCGAGCCTCTGGTTTTCCCACATTTGTTATTGTCTCTGGGCCATTGCCTTCAGCAACTCCCACATTTTTGCCTTTCTAAGTCATTTCCCTAATTCCTGCATGGTGAAGTTAAGAGAAACCACACAGCCTCCAGCACACACGCGCGCGCGCGCGCACACACACACACACACACACACACTCGCACACCTTTCTATGAGTCTGCTTTCCACTCTGGACACCAATCCCCTGGTAAATAACCTAATCCTGCCTACCTTCATCCAAAAATGGACATGTATAAACTCCCCAAATGTCCACTAGAGGGCACTACGATCCCACCTCTGACTCCCTTTTATTGCAGAATGACTTCTGTGAACTCCTAGGGGAATGGCTTCTCCCATCCAACCACCCAGATGTTTCTGTCTGGTTATTCCTCATACGAACCACCTAAGATGGAGAAGTAGGTGACACGACTAAGGAAGGAAGTAACACCCCATCCATTCCCTTCTGCGTGCGCCCTGTTCCCAGGGCAGGATACTCTCACGATCCAGGCATTCTTCCCCAAAAATGATGTGACCAATAGCAGATGTGCTATTAGTGAGGCTGACTCGACTGTGCTGGGTCCCTGGCGGTGCTCCTGGGAAAGTCAAAGGGTTGATTTGGGTCCTGGGTCATCAACCACACCTTAAGGGGTTGTCAGCTATGACAGCTCCACCTCAAGACCAGGCTGGGCCCTGCCTAGACCTCGTCCTCCCCGGTTAACACACTTGTTCCCCTCCTCCCTTGCCACTCCCGCCTTGCTCTCCCCGGGCCCAGCTCTCACTGTTCTCTCTCTCCAAGTCACTACATCAAAGTTACAGCGAAGCCCTCGTCAGCCCACTCAGAAGAACGGGTGGCTCACAGCTCTTAGCACGAGGACTTCACCTTAGGAGAACAGAAATGAGCAGCCTTCTGTAGTAAAGTGTGGCTATTACCCGGTTTGGCTAACACGCACAACACTGCGCCTTGTACATTTGAAAATCAAAACCAGGGACCAGCAAGTGGCGAAGTGGTTAAGGCACTGGACTCCCACATAGTTGACTATAGTTCCAGTCCTGGACCCAGTGGCTTAAAACTCACACAGGTAGGGACCAGCAGTTGGCATAATGGCTATGTCACTGAACTCCCATGTAGTCAACCACAGTTCAAGTCTCAGACCCGGAGGCTTAAATTCACACTGGGTGCATGTGCATGCATGCCCAAGATCCCAAGAGGAGAATGAAGGAGAAGGGATTGCGGTGTGGCCATATCCGCTGGGGGGATAGATTTCTTGCTTTCTCTGTTTCTCTTTCTGGTGAGCACACGTGCCCTATAGCAAAAACCTCTCCAAAAACAAAGAAACAAAGAAACAAACAAAAACAAAAAAAACCTCACACAGGGTATGTGTGAGTGCATACCCAAAGTCCCAAGAGGAGAATGGAGGAAAAGGGATTGCAGTGTGGCCATCCTCCCTGGGCGGGTGGGGGGGGGGAGTGATTTCTCACTTTCTGTCTCTCTGGTGAGTGCACATGCCCTATAGCAAAATTCTGTCTCAAAAATAAATAAATAAAATAAAATAAAAATCGGCACAATTTCTGCACACAAGTATTTCCAAGGAAATGTCTATAGCCTAGTGCTGAAAGTGCATGTTTAAGCCGGACTATGTCAGATCTCCTCCTGGGCTTGCTATTTATCAGCCACTTGGACTTGGGTAAGTTACTTAACTTCTGTGCATTGGTTTCCTCAGCAATTGAAACAAGAAAGTGGGCTGGCCAGTGGCATGGAGGTTAAGGTGGCTGGATGCCACATGGCAGACTGCGTAGTTCGAGTGCCGGATACGGTGGCTCAAGAAACATACCAGGTGCGTGTGCGTGCATGGCCAAAATCCTGAGAAGAGAATGGAGAAGGGACTGAGGCATGGCTATCCCCTCTTGGGGGTGCTTTCTCACTTTCTCTCTCTCTCTCTCTTTCTCTGTCTCTTCAACAAAAAATCTAGAAAAGAGAAAAGTAACAGTGTCTCCCTAGGATTGTTGTGAAGATGAGTTTGTTTATGGTGAATTAGTATGTGAAGTGCTTAGATCTGACCCAATCCTAGTAAGTACCCAATAAATATTAGCTATTATTATTATCTTTCACTAAAACTTGTGGAAAATTCTCCAAACACAGGCTGACATCTGTTTTGTTTTTCTTATATTTTAGGAGAAGCTTATTCTAGAAACTGAAGGACGCTGAATCACGGGCCGTGTCTGTGTGGTGCACACTTGTGCCACCTAGCTGGTGATGACCTCGGGTTACGTGCCACTTAGCAATGGGTGAGTCTGTGCCGACAAGTGTCTGAGAACCCTGGGTTTAAGTGACTGCAGGAAAACGCAGAGTTAGTTAAACTGGGGTTAGAGCGGTTTCCAGATAACACTGGGTTGTGTGTGAAAGTGTGTCAGGAAAGGATCTGAGGACACAGGGTTGCTGGTAAGACAAGGTCTAGATAAAACCAAGTTCTTGTAACAGTGGTTGTGGGCAGTGGTATGGGCTGAGAGCCATTTAACTACTGTTTCTCCAAGGGATTTTAAAGAAAAAAGAAGAAGAAGAAAAAAAGAGAAAAAAACCCTTGATTTGTAGCGTTTCCAAATCCTGTGGTGTAAATACTCCCATCATGGTGATTTCCAGCTACCAGCATGATATCCCAATGAGTCACTCGCAAGGTTGGGGGAGATCTGGGGTCAGGCCGCAAACACTCCGTCATTGCCAGGCTTGGCAGAAGGGAAGCAGCCAGAGCTGCTGGCTGAGGAGCTGCTGGAGGGTGGGGGGAAGGAAAGTCAAGAGACCGTGTTGTCAGAAAAGCTAAAGCGAGTATGATGGGAAAGAGGGCGTGGACGGCAGCGCTGAGTACCTCCGAGAGGCTGGCAGATGAGCTCAGGAAGCCATCTGCAATGCAGTGTCTCTGGAACCCTTATGGATCCCTCACCGAGTCAACCCAGGCTCACCCATGCCCCTGAGAAGGGGCATCTGGCCTCTCTGCCCACTCAGCGGCCTCTGTCCTCTGCCACCGACATCCCCCTCCTGCGGAAAACAGCCTGCACCTCCCCCGTCAGGTGGTTCTGGTCTCAGCTTGGCACCCAGGGAAATTGAAGGCAGTCACCTGACCCGCATGGAGCCGACCAGAGCTGTCCTTAGGGATCTGGAAGTCCTGCAGAGGGAGAAGCGTATCTGCTCCACTGGCGTCAGGAAACCAGCATGATGTCAGACTGGAGCTACCTCTGGAGATGGAAGAAGCTTGGCTGAGATGCCGAACCGAGAAGAGAGATTGTTCGAGTCCCTGCACTGGGATCTACTCTTGTTCTCCCGAGTCTGAGCCAGCAGGCAGCACTTACTGCAGGGCCAGGCAGTTCCCCGCTTAGCGAGCACTGGCTGGGCCTCTCAGTGCCCGAAGTCAAAGCCAGGAGCTCCCTGGGTCCCATGTTAGAAACGAGGAATCCGCCCATGCTCCCAGGGGGAGTTGGCCCTGGGCAGTCTGGCTTCCAGGTCTACATTCGGGGAGGGTGATTCTTTGCTGCAGGGGCTGCCCATGCATTGCAGCAGGTCATAGCACGCAGCCCTCCCACACCCCCGCCCCTTGCTGCAACCAGAAATGTCTCCAGGCACAGAGGGGGTCCTGGGTTTGAAACCGCTGTTGCCATTCTGCAGCCCCCCAGGCTCCTTTTGAACTGTCGTCAACTCATCCAGATGACCCTGTGTCGGGCACAACTCAGGGCTGCCGATCTGTGTGTCAAACACAAATAACCCAGTTCCCTCAAACCCTAGTCTCTATTGCACATCACCACCTGGGCCCTTTGCTATCTAAAACTCCACCTCACTTTCAAAGTTGTGTCTCCAAGACTTTCTGTCACCCACAATCCTGTCACTGAGACTCGTTAGGCTCATGGCCCAGGGGTGCCTGTACCTTCTGTCACCAGCATCAGCCTCATGGAGTCAGGGACACAAAGCTGTACGTGGGGGCGTGCGCTAAGTACTTGTGGAGACGGATACAAATTCATGCAGAGACACACACTCAAAGGCAGGCAACGGAGAAGAGCAGAGAGACAGAGACAAAGAGACAGAGAGAGGCTGGGCTCCCCAAGGCCACAGCCGTTTCTAAATGGATCGCTGGAGACCCCAGTGCCTTCAGGCCCCCTCCTCCTACGTCTGGATTAGACCAGGGCTAGAGAAGCTGGGCCCTGAGGGTAAGGAGCTTAGACCCAGCGTGACAGCTAATCACCCACGAGGCCTATGTCAGGTCACCAGGTCCAGTGGCCTGCCCATCCACCGGTCGCTCCTCCCTCTTCCCCACCCCCATCAGGACTCAGATGACGAGATCCCATCCCTCACACCTGACCGAGCTACAGCCTGGGTGGGCGGACAGCCAGGACCCTCTCAGAGTAGAACCGGAATTCCCTCTCGTTCCACTCCCAGCATGCCAGGAGGAGGCAAGAGGCTCCCTCGGGTCTGGTGCATTGGTGGAGCTCGGGGCCTATGGACAGATAACTTGAATTTCCCACTAGCTCGTCTCAGAAAGATCTGGCTGAGGCCAGAGAAGCATTTTCCCTAAGCTGAGAGACTCGGTTGTGAGTGATGGTCCCTCCTCTTCCGGAAGCTCCTGTCTCGACCCCCTGAGGGTCATGGATGAGAAAAATCAGGCTATATTTTGAGGCAATAAAAGACTTTAAAGGAGCCCCACCCCACTTCCAAGCTGGCCTGGCACGGTTGCCATGGGGATGCCCCAGTTGCTCCAGAGGCAGCTGCTGGTCCCCAAAGTGGGGATGGCGGAGGCCCCGGCGAGTGGGGGCGAGAGTTCGGTGCTGTCTGGGAACAGGTCTGACCTTGCTGCTTCTCCCAGTTCTCTCGTCTCCACTGCCCCCTCTTCTCTCCACCTCCCCGTCCTCTGCTGCTCCCTGAAGAGAGCTGGTCTCAGTCTGCACCCGCCGGTGGTTGAAGGGCTCACGTGGGGTGCCTGGTTGCGGCTGACCAGTGCGTGCAGGTGTGTAGGCCCAGGTGAGGAGCTGGAGCACGTTACCTCGAGGAAGGGCTCAAGGAGGTTCCAGCGAGGAGGATGGGGTGTGAGGGCTCTGTACAAAGGCTCTGGGGGAAAATCGGGCACAACATCAGCGTAAGATGCAGGTTTGGGCAGACTTGCCCAATACGATACAGGCCTTTGGGGTAAACTCAGGAGTAAGGGCCGAAATGGAGGGCCAGGGGATTCAGATATAAAGGCTCAGGTGGGGCCTAGGTGAGGGTGAGAGATCTGCGCTGCTGCCTCCTCTTAGTGGTAATTTGTCACTAAGAACAATTGTTGGGCCAGTCAGTGGCGTGGTGGTTAAGGTAGCTGGATCCCACCTGGCTAACTGAATGGTTTGAGTCCCGGATCTAGCAACCTGAAAAACACACCAGGCGTGTGTGTGTGTGTGTGTGTGTGTGTGTGTGCATGTGTGTGTGTGTGTGTGTGTGCACGCCCAAAATCCCAAGAGAAGAATGGAGAAGGGACTGCAGTATGGTCATTCTCCACCACCCGGGAGGGGGTGCTTTTTCTCTCTCCGTCATTCTTTCTCTCTGTCTCTCTCTCTTTCTGTCTGTCTCTCTCTGGCAAGTGCACGCGCCCCATAGAAAAATAAACAACAAAAAAGAACAATTGCTAAAGGACTAAACTTTAGATAAATAATCTTTTTTCCCCCTAGTGAGTATATGCACTCATCAGACATAGAAAGATGAGAAAGTACCCCCCATGGGGAACGGTCATACCACAACCCGTTGTCCTCCACCTCTCCTTTCTGTGGGATTTTGGGTATGCATACACGTGCACCCAGGGTGTTTCTCAAGCTTCTATGTCTGGGACTCAAACTACGCAATCAACCATGTGGGGGCTAGCTGCCTTAACCACCAGGCCACAGAGTTAGCCCAATAATCTTTTTTTTTTAATTTTTAAAATAATTATTTATTTAATTTTATTTATTCATTCATTTATTTTAATGTGACCAGAGACACGGAAGAGAGGGAGAGAGCGAGAGAGAGAAAGAGAGGAAAAGTGAGAAAGCAAGCTAATAGGCCCAGAACTCGAACCATGGTCAGACACGTGGGACTATCTAGCGCTTTAACCACCACGCCACCTACTGGTCTCTAGCCCAATAACCTTTTTTTTTTTTTTTTTTTGAGCGGTTTTTGCTACAGGGCACATGCACTCGCCAGACAGAGACAGAGAGACAGAAAGTGAGAAATCACTCCCCAAGGGGGATGGGCATGCCATAATACCTTCTCTTTCATTCTCTTGGGATTTGGGGCACATATGTGCATGCACCTGCACCCGGCCTGAGTTTTAAGCCACCAGGTCTGAGACTTGAACCGCCGTCTACCATGTGGGAGGCCAGCGACATAACCATAATAGCTTTTTAGAAAGTATGACAGAAAGAGAGGAAAAGTGAGAAAGCAAGCTAATAGGCCCAGAACTCGAACCATGGTCAGACACGTGGGACTATCTAGCGCTTTAACCACCATGCCACCTACTGGTCTCTAGCCCAATAACCTTTTTTTTTTTTTTTTTTTTGAGCGGTTTTTGCTACAGGGCACATGCACTCGCCAGACAGAGACAGAGAGACAGAAAGTGAGAAATCACTCCCCAAGGGGGATGGGCATGCCATAATACCTTCTCTTTCATTCTCTTGGGATTTGGGGCACGTATGTGCATGCACCTGCACCCGGCCTGAGTTTTAAGCCACCAGGTCTGAGACTTGAACCGCCGTCTATCATGTGGGAGTCCAGCAACATAACCATAATAGCTTTTTAGAAAGTATGACTAAGATCAACAGGAGGGAGACCAGTAGATGGCGTAATGGCTATGTCACTGGACTCCCATGTAGTCAACCATGGTTCAAATCCCAGACCTGGAGGCTTAAACTCACACCAAGCGTGTGTGCGTGTGCCCAAGATCCCAAGAGGAGAATAGAGGAGAAGGGATTGTGGTGTGTGCTCATCCCCCCTGGGGGGTGACTTCTCGCTTTCTGTCTCTCTGTCTCTCTCTGTCTCTCTGGCAAGCGCACGTGCCCTGTAGCAAAAACTTCTCCAAAAAAAATATATCACCAGGAAGGGTGGTGCTGTACTTAGAAGACCCAAAGGTTTCCATGAGAAAACTTCTCAAAGTAAAAAATGGATACAGTAAAGTGTCAGGATACAAAATCAACATCCAAAAATCTATAGCATTTCTGTATACAAGCAAGGTGAATGAAATAGATCTGAAGAAGGGATTCCCTTTTACCATAGCCACAAGATGTAAAAAATACCTAGGGGTAAACCTAACTAAGTCAAAGATCTTTACAAAGAAAACGATGAAAATCTCAAAAAAGACATTAAAAGGACACAAAAAGTGAAAGGAGATCCCAAGTTTCTAGATTGGAAGAATTAATATAATCAAAATAGCAATTCTAGGGACCAGCAGTTAGCATAATGGCTATGTCACTGGACTCCCATGTAGTCGACCGCGGTTCGAGTCCCGGACCCGGTGGCTTAAACTCACGCTGGGCACGTGTGCGTGTGTGCCCGAGATCCCGAGAGGAGAATGAAGGAGAAGGGATTGTGGCATGACCATCCCCCCTGGGGAGTGATTTCTCGCTTTCTGTCTCTATATCTCTCTCTGTCTGTCTGGCGAGCGCACCTTATAGCGAAAATGTCTCAAAAAAAAAAAATAGAAAGAAAAAAGTAACTTAGGGGTCCAGCAGGTAGCATGGTGGTTAAGGGGCTGGACTTCCACATGGCCAGCCACAATTTGAGTCCTGGACATGGCCGTTTGAAAATCACCCTGGATGTATGTGCCTGCATGCCCAAAATCTCGAGAGGAGAATGAAGGGATTGAGGCGTGGCCATATCCCCTGGGGGGTGTTTTCTCACTTTCCCTCCTTCTGTCTCTCTCTGTCTTTGGCAAGAGCACACAACCTATGGCAAAAACAAAACCTAATAAAAGAAAAAAAGAATTAGATCCCAAAGGAATTTTATTTAAGTGGGTTATCTATTGATATTCAATGCATGTGAAGTTAAAACTGAAAGTTATAGTATATATTAACTCAAAATAATAACAAATTCACTGGGCACATGTGCATGCGTGCCCAAGATCCTGAGAGGAGAATGGAGGAGAAGGGATTGCGGCATGGCCATCCCCCCTGGGGGGTGATTTCTCATTTTCTGTCTCTCTGTCTCTCTGCCTTTCTGGCGAGCGCACACGAGCCCTATAGCAAAAACC